GGGTCGTATATACTGACCCAATAGCATATCTTGAAAACTAGAGCCAAACAAAAAATTTAAGCATCATTTTTGTTCTCAGTGACCCAGAATTAGTAAAATTTGACTACATTTATTTCAGAAGCATTTTGGCTGTAGAGCAGTGTAATTCCTCCTTTGATAAAAACTGGACAAAGATTAGCACGGAGGGTACCTAAACAAAGATACAGTAGAGCTCCTCATCAGCTGGAAGACCCCTAAGGATCTGGCCGTCGATTTAATAATCAAGAGTTAGTACAGATCCATCTCCTTGAGCTGGGAATCACTACCCTCGCTCAAAGTGTAGATATAGCCTTATTCTTCTTGGAGCTAGCTGACTGAGTATGTGCTCAGGCAGCTAGCCCAAGCTTCCACCATGGCCCATGCTACTCCCAGCTACACTTTTCAGAGCACTACCTCTATCAGAGCTAGCATAGCTGTCTACCCATGCTGGGAAGCACACTCACAGCTGCATGTAGACATACCCTTAGTAGCATATGCCCTCTTCTTCTCTACCCACAGGCACATCCCCTTAACATTACTGTAACTACAATACACCATAGACCAGGCATGGCAACCTTAGTTCAGTCCTTCTCAATCCCCCCTTCTGCACACACCTCTTTATGAAACTATAACCTACTGCTATTATTAGTTTTGGATGTTTAGTGCAGTACTTGTTTGTATTGGGAGGAAGTAGTAGCTTAGTAAATGGAGTGATGGAAGGCCAACAACCCTGCAGGAGCAGAATTAACAATGAGGTGTGTGTAGCAACTGTAACATCTTCACAAATCAATTTTTTGTACATTAATTTGAGCATTTTTAATGCTTAAGCAGGGGTAGAAGATTATGTTGGGCAGGGTGGAACAGATCATGAGTAGAAGAAATGCGGCTGCTAACAGAAAATTGGCACGTACAACCTTCTCTGTTGTGAAATAAAATTTGACAAAAATATATCTGCTGCGGGAGAAGTTTTTATTCAAAGATTTAATCCATCAGCAATCATTGGCACAAACTTTCAGCTATGATGAATAATAGCTAAAAGCTATCTGAAATCTCCCCTCCCCCCTTTTTTTTAAATTATACGTTGCACTAGATACACTCAGGATTTCCCGTCTACCATATTTGGTGTAGAATGATGTCTTAAAAAAACATTGTCAACAAAAGGTCAGACTGCAATGGACATATTTCTGTCAGAGCCCTAATTCAAAGACTTTGTAGTAAGAAACCAAACAAAACCTGCACAGAAAACTCAAAGGGCATTAATGCTAATCTTGTATGAAGTTTCACATGGACTGGTCACAGAGTTAATCAAACACAGACTTATTATAAAGCAGGTTCTTAAATTATAATCACAGCTTCAATTATATAATTACAAGGAGTTGCGAAGAATACATCTTGTAGTTCTACAGAATGGCATAATCAAACACAAACATTAGAAATGAAAGACTTGTTGGGCCAAGTGACTCATTTTGTGTACATATGCATTTTTTTGAGTACTGATACCTATGCATATAAATGACAAAATTAATTGGCTGTTAGTGTTTGAAAAGTATGTATGGAAAAGTGCGTGCATAAGTAGGAGACTGGACTACGGCCCTTTTGGACATTAATAAAATAGAAAATAGATTCATTTTATTAAAAGATTATGGCTTTTAACTGAAGTAATATTATTCCAAAAAATTTAATACTTTATATTTTCAGAAATATTACAATCAAAATCCATAAAAAATACAAAACCAGTATCATGAGTTAATAAAGCACAGCGATGTACCGCAAATACATATAAGTAAAGAGATAACAGTGAACAGCGATTCCTGTAAATACTGGATATTGCAGACCAGAGAAAATTTCTCATTCAACATATACCTAATATACATCAAGTTCAATTGCATCACAATTTGACTTCAGTACATTAAAACAATCATTTTCCTGAAATACATTTGCAAAAAGACTAATGTTTCCATGTTATGTGCCACCTGTACAACAAAAAAACAATAATAAATGTTGGTAAAACACTGAAGAATTTTAATTTTTAATATTTTTAAGGTTAACTCATATTTCACAACTTTGTGAGGAAAGTAGGTACTAGTGGTGTGTCTAGCAAGGAGGTGCCAGTTGTGTTGAACAGGTCAGTTTTCTAGAACAGCACAGCACTAACCCTGTAGTATATTTCAGCTACATTTAAAATTTAAAAACAAAGAAGGCCTCTTGAAGATTGTGCAATTTTCCACCTTCTCTTTCAATGAATACACTGATTGTAAGGGAGGGTAACATGACAAATTCTAACCCATGCTGTAATAAATGAGCTACTGATGTTCTTGTTAGCGAGTTTGCACTATCTTTTGCTAGTTTTTAAAAATAAATATAATCTTGTTTGTACAAATTATACAGAACATAAACCATAATAAAATACAGTTTGTTAGTGACTTGTGCTTAGACTGGAGATAAGAGAGTTGGTCTTTGTTAAGCCCAAATTAAAGAGAATTGAATTGAGGTTAATACAGAGAAAAGCATGATTTGGATGTGTTGTCCTCTGCAGCTCTTGGATCATTAGATGAATAGTAAACAATTCAAACATCTTCTTATTACTTCTGCAAAAGATTTTCATATAAAATTAGTCAGTGACAAAAATTCATTGGATTACTTTCAAGTATGGGAAGAGAATTTCAAAATCACTATTCTGGAGAGACTGACTTTTTTATGGAACCAAAATTTGTGTTGTATTTTATATTCCATGAATGTGATTCTTTACATTGTCAGTGATAATGGCACTCTCTCTAAACTGCTATGGTTTTGCTGCAGTGTGACAAAAAAAAAAAAACAATGGCCCCAGGCAGAAGTATCCTTTCCCACAGATAAATGGCTTTTAAATGTAGCCCAAGGAAACCTTAAGGAAGAGATGAAGCAAGTTTTCATAGCTGTGAAAGAGGGATAGGGTAGTAGACTAAGTGGTGGGGGGAGTGCAGGGGGAGAGAGACAGCCCTGGAAATACAGACAGAAAGAAACGATACTTAAAAATATTGTAGACAGATCCAACACTGGAAGATCCAACAGCTAATAGGGATGTGTAGGTTTTTTTTTCTTTTTTTTTTTTCTTCAGTCTACAAATTTTTAAGCAATTTTGTTTGAAAAAAAAATCACAATTTATTAAATTCTAACTTATCTCCAATGAAAAATAGTTTGTTTTTTTCTTTGAACTTAGAAACTTATCTTGTTTTCCCCACCTAGAGTTATAGGGTTTGTTTGTTTGTTTTTTATCCTCAAGAAGATCAAAACTAATCTATATATCCCTAATTTTCTGGGGGGAAAAAGTGTCCAGTACCTAATGTGAATAAAAGACTTTAATTTACGTCTCTGTTGTTTTATAAGAGAAGTAATCAAATCAAATAATCCACTGGCATAATTCAGTACAATATGTGATATCATTAGGCAGGTGAGAATTTCTGTTGCAATAAATTTGTAAAGCAACAAGCACAGAGAAAGATCCTTAGAAAGGGTCAAATTTAAGAGTCTAAATTCCCTTTTCAAAAATGACTTCTGGGCACTTAGAAGCTTAACTGTCACAGCAAGTGGATAAGACTTAAGGCTTCTAAGTGCCTAAATCACTTTTGAATATAGGATCTAGATTCCTATGTCACATCGGCCCTTTTGTAAATTTCAACCCAGAAAAACTATGTTACAAAGTAACTCAGCAAAACTTAGGGTCAAGGAGAGAAAATGAAGTCAGAAAGCTTATGAGGAGGAATACAAAACAGCAATTTTTGATAACTAGGACTACAAAATAAAAAATATTTACTTGATTCTGGAGAGTTTTTGCAGTATAATGCTGAGTTTTTCTACTACCAGTAGATCGAGTTTAGGATTTCGAAGCAACACAGAACAAGTACGGAAAAAGGTCTCATTGCTGCAGGCTTCTAGGAAAGGCTGCAAAAAACCTGTAAAGTAATAATGTAATGTTCTCATCAATTAATTTGGTAGAAAAAATCCAATACTATAGTTAATAAAAGAAGAAGTGCACTTTATACTCGCAATGTAACAAGACAAACTACGTAACTTTTTGGCTTCTACTGCACTTTTGACATAAAACTGTCAGAATCAGAAACTACAGAACCTGACATTACCAATAACACTTGAATATAAAACAAGGTAGTAAACACAGTAAAAGAATTTTGCTTTCTCAACAATAAAAAATGGCAGGAGGGAGGGAGGGCTACTTTTAACTAAAGTGATAATTCTGCATCTTTGACACACCTATCTGAAACTCACATATCAGCAGTGCACATCATGTGATCAGCAGGCAGAAGCACTAAGCAGTGTCAAAGGTGGTTCACCAAGGAGTATTGCTTTAAGAAGCTGCAAAAATACATGTCAGCAGATGATACTGTAATACTTATAGAAGCTAATGTGAAACTAAGAAATCTGTCATTAAAATGTTTGTTTAGTAGTACTCAGCTTCGAGACAGGTGCAATAAAAACTGAGCAAAAAAAAAGATTGATCCATATAAATATTAATATAACTCCCCTAATGCTGCACACCTAAAGCTTTTGGTCAAGTCATGCTGCATTTCTATTCACTTTTGTTCTCTTCTCCACAATCTTATTGCTCATATATACACAATGAAATCTGTCCACATTTCATCACATTTTCGTACCTAACAAATTAGTTTATAATTACAAACCATCAAATTCTGTGTTTAAGAGTTCAAAAAACTAATAAGGACACCAAGGGTGAACAATTCATTTTTTTGGCCTGACAGGGCAAAGAGAATACAAATACACCGCTACCTCGATATAACGCGACCCGATATAACACAAATTTGGATATAACGCGGTAAAGCAGTGCTCTGGGGTGGCGGGACTGCGCATTCCAGTGGATCAAAGCAAGTTCAATATAACGCGGTTTCACCTATAACGCGGTATGCTTTTTTGGCTCCCGAGGACAGCGTTATATCGAGGTAGAGGTGTACAAATACATGCATCATATTGCTAAGTCCCCCCCCCCTTGTGAAATGGGCATGAACGTGCATTTGTTCCACCCAAAGGTAGATGATGTTTTTTAAAAATTAAAAACTCAGTTTAGTTTTTATTTAAATCAATTTTTATTTAAATTAAATATTTTTCTTTTTTAAAATAAACCTATTTCAAATTACATTTGAAATTATGTCAATTTACATTAAGACCTAAGCCTACTTTAGTCCATTAAAATAATTTAAATAAAAAAAAAATACAGCAGCATCAATAAGCCCTCCTCAAATTACAACGAGATAAAGCGTGCCTATTTTTAAATTGTATAACTGGGGTAAATAGCTGACTTTTTAGGTCAACTCAAGGTTTATAAATTATCAAAATGTTGTGTACTACATTAAGTAGCCTTTTTTTTCCATTCTTTACAAGGGAGCAAATATTGGTATTTACATTTTTCCAAATGTAAGTACTACAGTTTCTGTTCTGCATTTTTAGGGCTTTGTCTATATGGTGGGGTAAGGTGCTCTACAGAGGTATGGCTTCTAAAGTGCACTAACGCGTTGTGCATTAATTGGTCAACGTAGACCCGGCTGATGCACACTAAAGGTTCCCTAATGAGCTTTAGCATCGTGCTGTTTCTAACAGCACTACATTAAAGTGCACCAGCAGGGTCTACATGGATCAGTAATGTGCAACATGTTAGTGCGCTTTAGAAATCACCCCATCTCCCACCCACCCACCGTAGAATACATTACCCACCCCACCATGTAGACAAGCCCTTAAGCACCTAAATACTGTCAAATATCTGTCAATTCACTAACTCCAGGTAATACTTCCTTTGTTTAATAAATTTTAAATGCAAAATATTCTCTGATAAACTTGTTTTCTTTCTTATGTTTCTTGCATATATAAGGTAACTTTATGCATCTAATAAAAAACAAATGTAAAATGTTGCTTTTGTACACTTTTAATTCCAATTTCCATCTAAATGCAGCTTGGCACAAATCCTGGGTAAAAAAATATCAAATGTTTACCATTCACCATTTTCTAACATAAAAAAATGTTAAAATTGAGAATTCAAATAAATGTAGGTTAACCTATATTGTTTAAATACATATGTAATATACAGTATATTCTTCCAGTTATAAGGAAGTACCAAATTGAGCCTAAAGGCTATATTTGGTTGCAAATCAACATGTTCCAATGGTTATAACAGCCAATGAGAATGAACTTTTCTTTAGGACAATAACCAAAAAGTACAAATGCAAAACCAGACTAAAACCAATTATTTAAATCAAGGTTTCCTGCTTGTTGATTTAAACCATGATTAAAATAAGTGCGGCTCCGGTGTGGGTGGGCATCCCAAGCAAGGTCCTTTACCCAGTGGCCCTTGATCCGGCTTGCTCAGTGCCGGGTCCCTCTTCTTAGGCACCGGCGAAGGGGACCAATGCCGGTAGGAGCCCGGTGCACTGCGCAGAGGCCAAAGTGCTTGGCATTACATCAGGCCGGGCTGGCTCCGAGGCTGGATAAAGAGCGGCCTCCGTAAGGAGGGCCCTCAAGCAAAGGTCTCATTCTTTCTGTGTCCTGGGACGAAAGAGCTTACAGATATGACACTTCTCTTTAACGTGGGATTCCCCAAGGCATTTCAAACAGCTACCATGCGGGTCACTAACAGGCATAGAGGCCTGTTGCAATCAAAGCAGGGCTTTAAACCCGGAGACCAGGGCATGCCTCGCTTGGGGCAAAGTCCACACAGTCACCCTAACTGACTAACTACAGGACTTAACAGCTACTTACTAACTAATCTATTACAAACAAAACTATTTACAGCTGGCACACAAGGTTCGGGAGTAGGAGAAAACCGCTGACCACCGAGAAGCAAGGGAAAGAAGCACTCCGACCAACCACCACGGGTGGTAAGAAGGAACTGAGAGGGCGTAGGGCCAGCGGTGCCTGATATACTGACGCATGAGCGTGGCACTCAAGGGGGCACCACAGCCGATCCTACAGATACCACCAAGGCAAGTCTCCAACAATTGTGCACGTGGGCGCACGCACACCTAGAATGGAATCGATGTGCACAAGCACTCAAAGAAGAAAGTGTATTTCTTTTGAAAGTTCCTTTGCATGTGTGTTGAGCAAAGTACTTTATAAATGAAATGTCAAGGTGCTGCTATCAATTTAGTGAAGATGGATGCATCTTTGTTTAAAAAAAACAAGGACATATATATTTTTATTAGTCATAATAGATAGCCTGGGAGTGAATACAAGGTTGTAATTTATTTCAGGAGCTTTACTGAACCCAGTATAAACTAATACCAGAAAGCACAACTCAAGCAACCTAACACCATTTCGAACAATGGCTGAAAAAAATCTACTTGGCAGTGATAAGTGGGAGTCTTTCCCTTGTCAGCATGAAGGTCTAACTCATCAATTTCTGCAGAATTTAAGCTTTCGTTTATTTATAGTTTCTAGCCCATATGATTGTGAAGATACCCTTCCAAAAGTAACCTCTATGCAAAGCAATGCAATGTTGCCTTCCTGAGTATGCAAACATATGACTCCAGTGCCTTTTTCTGCTTCTTATAGCTTTATTTAACAGCACCAAGTGAAATTAACAAGATTTGTCAGTTTCATGCTGCTACTCTGTGGACAGTAGTGATACTAACAAGGACTGTCAGTTTCATGCTGTTGGATGAGAATGCTGAGGAATAGCAAAAGCAGACCATGGAGTTATTCATGATAGAAGGCTGACAAAACATAGGCTAATAGAGTGGAAGAGTAACAGAAACCCTCCTCGTTTACAGGCCCCATGAAGAGGTAGATGAAAGGATTAATTCTTGTAATTCTGCTTTGAAAGTATCATTTCACTGGATTCCTACCCTTGGGCTTCCCTACAGTGAAACAGGCTGACATCCTTTAGCTGTCAATGAATTTTGGCTCTTTAAGACTCCTTGATGAACCTGACACAGAGAAGTTCCTAAATTGCAAAAGTAATGTGTACAAATATTTATGATAGGATCATCAGAAAAAAATCAACAATTGAAAGGACAGTGAAAAGGTGAGTAGAAATCAAAGGTATCTTCAGAGAAGCAAAATTACAAGTGGGTAATTCTCTCTCTCTCAAGTTACCATTATTATGTTATGGTAGTGCTTAGGGTCCCCAGTCAAGAATCAGGGCCCTAGTGATTGAGACATTGCACAAAGTTCCCCTGCCTCAGAGAGCTCACAATCTAGGTTTGTGACAAGACATAACAGAAGAATAAAACAGGCAAATGTGGAGCAGAGGAATAGGGCTGGGTTTCTACTAAAAAGTAGACAAACTCTCAGATTCTCCAATCACACAGGGGGAAAAAAATACTGTCTGAGGCAGGTTCACATCCCAGGAGAATCATGGAGTCATCCAAAATTCCCATCCACAACAGGAGATGGGAGGGCTAGAGGGGAATTTTGAATAGGAGATGAACAGAGGTAAGAATGTATATTCCTCTATATGAAGATAATATGGTTTGTAATACAAGGCAAATTTTAAAAAAAAGGAAATTCAGGCTCTGGAACATACACTTGTAAAGCGTCTGAAGACTTTACTATACTGGACATCATAACAAGACAGCAGAAAGCCAGTTTCATAAAGATCTACAAAAACATCCTCCTGGAGGAAAATATATAGTTCAGGAAAGGAATATCATTCCAGCACACAATTCAACACCCAACACAATCTGACAAAGGGAACTTAGGTTCCAACGTGAAAACAATTTTCATTTTCTAAGGTAATTGTGTCCAGAGAGGAACAGCTATAGACCATTTCTGTCAGGTATCGAGCAATGTCACTATCCATCTGATTCTGTCCTTAATGTGACTGTCCAGGTCGACCATATACCCAAAGTGTACCTCTGGTCTTTCTACAGGTACTTTACTTTTGAGACAATAGGGATCATTGTGAAAAAAAATTGAAATCAAGATCTCAGGG